GGAATGCACGGGCAGGTTGGGAATGGAAGGGAAAAGGCACGGCAGGTTGGGAATGGAAGGGAAAAGGCACGGCAGGTTGGAAAATCTGGGAGATGGCTTGCTGCACGGCTGGACAGTTTTGTTGTGCGTGAAGGCTGCGGCTGGATTGTGATTTTGTGCTATGTTTTTTTAGGTTGAATGGTAGAATGCATGGGAAATTTGCTGCGGATGTTTTTTATAATGGGAGAATAGGTTAATGGCTGCACAGATTTCTTTTGGGTGGCTGTGGGATGAATGAATTTATGCGGCTGTTTTGTTTGAATTAGGTCTGAATAATTGTGAATGTGGCTGCTGTGAAGGTTAATGGCTGAATAATGTGGTGGAGATAAAGCGGCTGGAATAAAAAAATCTTCAAAGTGTTGCGGCTGGAATTGGTTTTGGGGAGATGGCATGGCTGGAAAGTGGAGGGAGAAAGTGCGGCTGTTTTGGTTTTAAATGGAAGAAAAAAATGTAATGGTGGCTGCGGGATCAAGTAGGGTTATTAGGGTGAGAATGGCTGCACCCTTTTTGAAAATATGCGGCTGTTTTGGAATTAAAGGGGGCGTCCACCCATTATGGAATGCACGGGTCAGTTTGGCTTTTGGAATGGTGGAGGTAATATTTGTAGAATGGATGCACGGTTTTTGGGGGGGAAATTTAGGGATGGTGGCGGCTAGGGAAAAGAATTATGGGATATTGGGAGGTTAGTCACGGCTATAATGGGAAATATGTGGAAATTGTTTTATTATAAAAATGAAAATAAAATGGAATGGTGGGATTAGGTGCGGCTAAGTATGTAAAACCTAGAGTTTTAAATATGTTTGGTTCCTAGCTTATTTTTATTAACGAAAATAAATTCAAAGGCTTCTAGAATTAGGAAATTAAAACATAAATATAAAGGTGCGGCTAGGAAGGGAAATAAGGCTAGGGCCTTGGTTTTGTGTCCTAAAGTGCCTATAAGGCCGTCAAAGTGGCTAGAAGATATGGACGTTTAAGTTTAGGAAAGGTTACCAAAACGGGACACTTAGGGTTAACTTTCCTAAAATAGGAAACCTTGTTTGAGTAGGATTCCTCGTTTTGGTAAGAATTCATCGTTGGAGTAGGATTTCGTCGTTTCGTCAAGTCTTCAACTCATTCGTTCCTCTTTCGCTCCAAAAGACTCCAATTTGCATCTTCTTGCACACTTTGGCCTTATAATCTGAAAATACACAAAAGTGGCCTTAAACACTAAAACAACTAAGTAAACACAACATAAATGCACGAGAACAAGCTACTTAAGTCGCATGAATATGCTCCTATCAATACTACAATTGTCATCAATAGGGTTTAATTTGTGTGTCAAGTTAATTTTCACATCAAGGTCCCAATTTTTTAGAGAGAATAAATGGGGTCGGGCGACATGATGACATTTTTGGGGTAGGTTGACCTAAATATTTAGAAAAACTGACCAAATATTTAGAAAAACAGAGCCTCTTACGGACCTGTTTCTTGTTATAATGAACGAATGAGATTGAATGACAAACTATCATCCAATCTCAACCGTTAGTTTTTGTCCATCATCCTCTACTCGAGTCCAAAATCCCACTCGACTCTCTCTCGTCTCCTCCCACCGACACATTCTCCATCTCTGTCACTCGTCTTCTCCACCTCCCAAAATATCAATCCGTCAAGAGTCTGTGAAAACACCCAATCCCATTCTGACCTTGATATACGGAATCGTCTTGCGTTATATGTACTGAGATTGTTCGGGAGACGTGGTCCAAGCCTGGTATAGCATATGAATATAAGAGTCCTTTTGTAAAAGCCGTATTTTAATGAAAAAGAACACTACCATGTTAGGCTTGGACCGCCTACTGGATTTCAAAAATAAAGATCTCTGGATTCGAGAGTAGAGGTATTTGTGCTATTGCCTTTTCGAATTGGTGCTTTCTAAGCATTCGTTCTTGGCGAAAAGAGTCCCATATGATCCTAAAGAAGTCTTTTTTTAATTTCATTTTCAAGGCGCGAAATGGCCTAAACACCCATCAGGAGTAAAATCCTGGGGAAAACTGACTTCTAAGAACTAGAATTTTTAAGTGGACTTAAAGATAGTAGTTCCCAAGTATGAGATGAAATAGGAAGGAATAGAGTAAAGGCCTTGTCCTACTCTAATACAAGTAAGTAGCTAACGCTACCTTAATCCTTTGAAGTACGAATTTTGAAGCTCATGAGTAAGAGTAAATGCAGTTGCGGGCCTGTAACTGCGGGTAATTCGAGTTCTAGTTCTTTACAAGATAGATGTGAATTGTAGTATTTTAGTGAGATTTTGATGCTTTATTATGTATTGTCAATGTAGGATATATGAATCCTTTCTGAGCATAACGTAATCAAATGATGTAATTTTGAATGATTCCAATTGGAGCAGGTTCATGAGTCTATCAAGAAGGTTAGTGTCAACATTTCATAATTTAAACTTGAAGTATGATTGTGGCGAATTAATTTATGCCCAGCTCATGGTGTTGGCAAATTGAGCTGCAAAGCTTATTTGCAACTTTTGGGCTGGAAGATGATGGATTTTGGACTTGGACTCTTCTTGGAACTTGAAGAGGAGGTCCTAATCTTTAATTCAAGTTGTTTTAGGCCTGCTTTGGAGCCCTAAAGGTCCAAAAACGTGGGTATTTCTCTGCTGGACAGATTTCCTAGTTAGGCTTGGAGTGTGTTTTTAAGTTATCCTTTTATTATTTTGTTTCCTTATTTTTTAATAACCTTTTCTACGAGGGATTTTAATTTGTGGTAGTATAAATAAAGCTTTTTAGCCATCAGGGTTCTCTACACACGACATTGAGACAACTTAGCAAAGTTTTGCAGAATTTCAGATCTTTTACCTACAAGGTGTTTTCGATCTTTTTTCTAGTTAATGATATTTTCTTTAGTTTTTATGTTGATTATGGATAACTAGTCCTTTTCCTAGTGTGAGGCCATAAGCCTTAGCAAGAATATGTGATTTTATTAATTTTCTTATGAATGGATGCATGCTTGCTTTGAATTATTAATCACCATGTTTAAACTATCTAATTGTGTTAGTGACTCGTGACCATGAGGGTAATTAGACAAGTAATTTGATGTAATTTATGTTGAAACATCACCCTGAAATTGAGGAGGCTTTCTTGTGATTAGTAACTGTGTGTTCACTACATCACGCTTTTAAGGGTTGCATGATTTTTCAAAAGGGTTTTCACAAACCTTAATAAGTTTTGCATGTTGATATTTGATCTGAACATCACAGACGGATTGCATGTTAGATATACGTTTCACTTGAACATCACGAGAAAAATACGCATCAGGAAAACCTAACATTCAAAGCATATGTATGGAAACTCATAAGTAATTGGTAAAATTGCATAGGATTGTTAGTAGTGACAGCAGAACCCTAGTGTTTAAATTACTTTTTTTTTCTTTTGGAATCGTGTTTAAATTGCTTTCCAAAACTGTTTTCTTTTGTTTTTTGTACTTTGCTAATTTCTTTAATTGTTTTTATTTAAATTCGCTTTTATTTTTAAATTTCAAAATCAACCTTTTCGAAACTTTGTTTCAAATAATTAACTAAGGATTAGCTTAAATACAAATTATTCATTCAATTCCTAAAGAGAACGACCCTACTTGAGCCATTTATACTACAACTACCTCATTCTCTTACAAATATTTTTAAGTGTTTTTATTCCTACTTTTGCAGGTGGTAAAAATCCTATCATGTTGCCCAAATGAAGGAAGGATTTATCGAGTGCGATAAGACTAAACACATATCTCCAAAGTTTTGCAATGCACATGAGCTTCAGAAAGCTAAGGTTATTGAAGTCAAACAAATCAATTCTAATAAAATCTAGCAAACCTATTTACCAAATCTCTACCAAAGTGCACGTTTCAGAAACTAGTGCATGGTATTGGATTACATCTGCTTATCAATCAGTCAAATTGAAGAATGCGAGATCAAGGGAAGCATCCAAGACACATGCATGTACACTTTTTTCTTTCGACTAGAATTTTTCCCACTGAGTTTTTCCTATTAAGGTTTTAACGAGTCAACATAAGCATACTTAACACTATATCAATAATTCAAGCAAAGTTGTACTATTTTTCCTTCACTACGGTTTTTTCCCACTAGATTTTTCCTAGCAAGGTTTTAACGAGACAACTGATGTTAATATGTGGATATCCAAAGGTGAGTGTTGTACAAGTTGTGGGTTTGAATGCCTACATGGTCTAATCAAAACTTAAAAAGTAAGGATAACTAAAACAGTTGTATTGTTGGATGACATGATTTTCAACATGCCTTAATTTGCCTTGTAGAATTATGCATGTAAAAGGCTCTGTATAAAAGGCATGCAGTGCATGATCAAACAACACATATGATTAAGTGTGAAATGCAATAATACTAATATCCCTCTCATTTCTTTGTCCTGCATCATTTATGTGATACATACTCGTTTCACTTTTATCTCTAGCAAAGATTATCTCTCTCACTTTTGTCTATTATAATATTTAAGAGCAACTTTGTAAAGTGGGAGTGAAGAAACGCATGCACTTGCTAAAGTAATCATAAATTCAAGGTTTTTTTTTTGTCAAAATAGTATCTGAGATTTGCATAACTCATCACTTTGGTCCTTGAGATTTGAAATCAATAGAAGTGGTCCCTGAGTTTATCTACCATCAATCATTTTGGTCATTCTATGAAAAATTATATTAAATAAGGATCAAAATGATAAAAATATCCTCAATTTAATAAACAATAGGCTAAATGATTTGACAAAAATTAAGGGTATTTTTGTCATTTTAACCTTATTTAATGGAGATTTTTCATGGAATGACCAAAGTGATTAATTATGGATAAACTCATGGACTACTTTTATTGATTTTAAATCTTAAAACTAAAATAAAAAGTTATGCAAACCTTATAAACTATTTTGACTAAAAAAAACCTATATTCAAAGTTAATACGACAGGTTACGATTTTTCACTACTAAAGCGAGAAAGAAGGTTTTCACCAAATCTAATAGTACTTTTTAGTCCCTGCGCCTTCAAGCTTGAGGTCACAAACCAGTAATCTTCTGGGTCAATGTAGTTTTACTCCTCCTTCAGCTCAATCATGCAGTCAGCCGTGCTCTTCCATTAACCCATTGGCCCAGCTTGGCTTTTGCCACCAACAACCGGATAGTTATGAATGCCAATTGCCAAGTTTGGTGACTTATTACACCATGCCTACCAACCGTTCGATGAAATTCCTCTTAGAAGCCTTGGGTCTGGAAACCCTGTTTTTCTTTCGCTGTACGCACTACCCACAATTTGGCCAGCTGAAAATAACGTTTTAACAACTGAAGTAGCGTTGACACCGAAAGTCTTCGGCAATGTCGCGTTTGTTTTGTCAAGAACTTTGGAAATTGCTAAACCCGATTTGCAGATTTTGTCCAAACTAACCCTCACAGTCCTTCAATGATCCCCCAAGCAGGCGTTTCTTCTTCTTCTTCGCCGACGCCGCTGTGGACGTACGATGTGTTCCTCAGTTTCAGAGGCACAGACACCCGCACAAGTTTTACTGACCACCTCTATGCCGCGCTGACTCGAAAGGGAATTATCACATTCAGGGATGATGAGAAACTCAAAAAAGGAAGTTCCATCACGGAACTCTACAATGCAGTTGAAGAATCAAGGTGTGTCATTGCCATTCTTTCGAGCAATTATGCCGACTCAACTTGGTGTATGGAAGAGCTTGCAACGGCTGTTGAGTGCAGGAGAGTAATGGGACAGATACTAGTCCCGATTTTCTATCACGTACATCCATCCGAGCTGCGAAACCAAACAGGGAATTTCGGGAAAGCGTTTTGTAAGCTTGAGGAACGAGCCGTTAAAGGTAATTTAGAAAAAGTACGGAGGTGGAGAGCTGCACTTGTAGAGGTAGCTGACCTCTCTGGATTCCATTTGGACGGGTACGTAAACTTACTTTTTTACTTTCTTCTTGTAGTGATATTTAAACTATGGTTTCACAAAATATGAGATGGTGATTTATTACTATTAGTTGTAACCTTTTGCAGGTTTGAATCAGAACTTATTCAAACTATTGTCGAAAATATTTCCACCAAATTGAATCAAACAATCTCCAGTGTATTTACGGATTTAGTTGGGATGGATTCTCGCGTAAAAGAAATGCTTTCGGACTTAGAGATGGGGCGGAATAATGTACACATCATAGGGATTTGGGGGATGGGGGGCATCGGAAAGACAACTATTGCCCATGTAGTTTCTGAAAGGATACGTGCTCAGTTTGAAGCTTACAGCTTTCTTGCCAATGTTAGAGAGGTAAGTGAAAAACAAGGTCTAGTTCATTTACAAAAGAAACTTCTTTCTGATATATTGCTGGAAAGTAATGTAAGGATGCACAACACTCATACAGGAAGCAGTATAATAAGGGAAAGACTACAAACTAAAAAAGTTCTTATCATTCTTGATGATGTGGATCGGTTAGAACAATTGAAGGCATTGTGTGACCATAGTTGGTTTGGTCAAGGGAGTAGAATCATAATAACCTCAAGAGATAAAGATGTATTGGTCAAAGGTGGAGTGGACAGAATAAATCAAGTTAAGGCGTTAACTAACAATGAAGCTCTTCAGCTCTTTAATTGGAAAGCCTTTAGGAGTGACCAGGTTGGAGAAGATTTTTTCCAGCTATCCAAGAATTTTGTTAAAAATGCTTATGGCCTCCCATTAGCCATTGAAGTTTCAGGTTCATCCCTCTTTCGTAGAAGTGTTGAAGAATGGTCAAGTGCATTGTTAAGGCTAGAAAGAAAGCCTGTTGAAATGCTTTTTGATGTACTTAAAGTAAGTTTTGATGGATTACAGGAAATAGAAAAGAAAATATTTTTGGACATTGCGTGTTTCTTTAAAGGAGAGGACGAATATCGTATAAAAAGAATACTAGAAAGTCGTTATGGCCACTGTCCAATCATTCATTTTAAAGTTCTCACTGAAAAATGTCTTCTAACTACATTCGGAGGAAAATTGTGGATGCATGATTTGATAGAACAATTGGGGTGGGAAATTGTTAGTCGGGAGCATCCTGAGGCAGGCAAGCGTAGCAGGTTGTGGCTTCCCAAAGATATTTTCCCTGTGCTTGTACATAATAGGGTAAGAAATTACTCGAAATACAGATTTAGAGATTGTTAAACTTAAAAAATAATTAGTTGAGTGTCTTGTTATATATATATTTTTTGATGCTTGCTACAACTAATTCTGTCTTCTTCTCTATTAGGGAACAACTTCGGTGCAAGGTGTATTCCTGAATTTTGAAAAAGAACAGGAGATTAGGGTTAATGATCCTTTTTCGGAAATGAAGAACTTAAAATATCTCAAAATTTGGAAAGGAAACATTTCTGGGAACACCAAATATCTTTCTAATGAGTTGGCGCTTTTGGAATGGCATGAATGTCCTTTAAATTCTTTGCCATCAGGATTTGAATCAGATAAGCTTGTCGAACTCAAGATACATTCAAGTTGCATCAAACAGCTATGGACGGGGAAAAAGGTAAGATCACAGTTAGTCTTCTGGATGTATATCCTTGAATATAATTTGAAGTTGAGGATACTGTTAGAATCCACTTCCTTGTCTGAAGAAACCCTGCTGCCCTTTTTAGGTTGTATACCATAAAGACTTTTCAGTCTGTCTAGTGCTGAAATATCCATGCAAGTATGTTACACATCATCTTTTTTTCCATAATTTTTATAGATGGAAAATGTTTAGGTTGACATATATCATACAAAACCAATAGTAAACATAAATTTCTATCAAAAAAACAAAGCACATGAAAGTATCTGTGACACATTGTCTTAGTGTAATATAATTCCCATTTACAGATCATGAGAATGTATCCATATTCTCTTAATGTTATACAGTTAAACATTTCACATCATATAGTATCATGTATACATGATGCAACATAACTCTCTTTTATTTCTGGACATTGTCCTCACTGTGTTTTCGTATACATTCTTCTATGTTTATCTTAGGTCTTGTTTGATAGGTTTCATAAAATACAAGTTTATAAACAATGCACATGTAAAATAAAGTTGCATTGGTTTGAATTTAATTTAGAATTATTAATAAACTTTCTAAAAAGTAGTAGTCTAAAAATTACAGGCTACTGCTAGCAACTTTCCCAAAATGTGTACTCATCTCATATAAACAGACACTGTAAGGAAAGATAAGGTATCTAACTTAACAACAACAACAACAAAGCCTTTTCCCACCAAGTGAAGGGTCTAACTTAATATGCGTAAAAAAAGCACTTAAATATTTTAAACCAAAAATTGAACTTTCGAGTTGGTGTCTTACAAGAATGTATTGCCATTTTTCTACCAATTATTTTTCTTTCAAATCATGCGATTATTTTTCAAATGATTTCAGTGTTGGAGCAGGCTAACTTTCATTGATATGAGTGACTCCCAGTACTTGATCAAGACCCCAGACTTTACTGGGGTTCCAAATCTTGAGATTTTGGTGCTTCAAGGTTGTGCAAGATTGGTTGAGGTTCACCCAACCATTGGAGGTCTCAGAAACCTTATTTCATTGAATATGAGAAACTGCAAATCTGTTGAGAGCCTTCCACCTTTCAAAAGTTTGAAATCTCTTAAAAGTCTTACTCTGTCCGCTTGTTCAAGACTCAAGAAGTTTCCTGAAGTTGAAGGAAATATGAAATGCTTGTTGAGAGTCTATTTGGATGAGACTGCTATAGAGGAATTGCCTACATCAATTCAACATTTGACGAGTCTTACCTTCTTGAACTTAAGAGACTGCAAAAACCTTTTGTCTCTTCCGAATACCATTCAATATTTGACATCTCTGAAAAGCCTCATTTTAGCTGGTTGCTCAAAATTTGATGAGATACCTGAGAATCTGAATTGTGTGGAATGCCTAGAGGAGCTTGATATAAGTGGAACTGCTATAAGAGAATCACCGTCTGTTGTAGGTATGTTGAATCTAAAATATCTATCCTTCCGGGGATGTCGAGATCTGCCTTCAAATTCGTGGCACTCGCTCTTTAATTGTTGGTGGTGCAGAAAGAGCTATGTCCCCACCAGTTTGTTGTTGCTAACCTCATTCTCCAGTTTAACTTCTTTGACAGAGCTAGACTTAAGTTATTGCAATTTAATAGATGGAGCAATTCCCCAAGATTTTGGTGACTTAATCTCCTTAAGAAAATTAAATTTGAGTGGCAATAATTTTGTTCGGCTACCAGAAAGCATCTGTCAACTCTCCAAGCTTGAATCTCTCAACTTGAGCAATTGTCGAAGGCTTCAGTTGCTTCCTGAACTACCGTTAAGTGTTCGGCATGTGAATGCAGAAGATTGTATTTCACTGATGTGTTTCCAAGATAAATTCAAGTTATGGACTTCAGCTGTCTCAGGAATGACTACTGTCAATTCCCACAGTTCATCCGATAATCCAGAATATTATACTTCAGCACCAAGACGTATCTCAAGAACTTACACTTCTGGAGGCTTTGGAATGACTACTTTCAGTATTTCGTCTGAAGATCAAGAATGGAAACCATGTGTTGATTCATGGTTACCAACTCAAGTGTTTCAAAGAGACCTATTGGATTGTAGGTCATGCTCCATGAGCTCTGTTTGTGCCCAAATTGAAATCCCAGAGTGGTTCAGCAATATAGTTAATGGCGATTCCATAGCAATCCCAATACCTCCAAATTTGAAAGATAATAAGAAGTGGATGGGGGTTGCTGCTGTTTTCTTAGTCAAGGGACAGCCTTCTGTTTCCAATAGTGAGTCAGATACAGAAACTTCTGATTACTTGTACAGATTCACATTGGGAACTCATGAGTTTCGACTGGAACCATATCTTCTTGACTGGAAGGAAAGTTGCACCCTCGTCAGATCTAGTTCTGATGATTTTCTTTGTTTTTTCTATGAATCTCATATGCGCTTTCCAAAGACGTTAAATGAATCAAGGTCAATATGGGCATTATTGGAAGCCATTAACTCGTGCATGGAGGTCCAGAAATGTGGGATACGTCTTGTTTACAAGCAAGATGTTGCAGGGTTTATCCAGACATTCATGATGTGTTTTGGTGGAGGCCAACATGAAATGAATCTGCAGGAAGTTGATAAAGCTACATTTGAGTCTGGATGGTTTAATCTAGACAATAAGTACATTTTCAGATGGTACAATTTCATTTTCCCTGAACTTTGTTCTTTGCATTGCGTTAAATTTCTTCATTATTGAGGTGACATGGTCTTCTAAAAAGTTAAAAATTAACTCATTCTTTGATATATATACATATATCTCTTTACAGATGTATGTATGTATTTGTGATTGCAGGGATTTTCTCATCATCTCGCGTGTGGACTCCTAAGGGCAGATTTTTACATGGACTTGTATGTACTTATGAAGAAAATACCTTATTGTCATCAAATTTGGGGTTTTACATACCACGGGCACAGTTTTTAGAGCGTTTCATGCTCTCAAATTCTAGTAGCATGAGCTGCATTTTGTTTCAAACCGATAAACCTGGCGCAGAGGTTCAATATGTGCATTGCACATTTTGTATCAACAAGATCGATTGGGGTTTTTCCGGACAATTACCCACTGCATATTACGTGGCTCTGATAGAATCCTTGAAACTTATAATCCATTGGTATCAGGTGTTCAGATAAATTTGATGAGATTGCAAAGTCCTGCAGTTGATGTAGAGGCAATAGTCTCATGTCAACTAACTGCAGAGATTGGTGTGTGTGGATCCTTTTGTATGTAGCTTCCTTTGGACCAAAGTACCCAAGTGGTTCGTTCTTCTGAGTAAGGCAACTCTGAAAATGTTCAACACTGCCTCAGACTTTGCTCGGTGATAGTAACTGTATGGGCTTTCACCACTCCACAAACATCCAAACATCAATTCTTGAGAATTTTGACACTCCCAATTCATTGTTTCTCTTGACATTTTTCTGTAATATGGTGTTCGGCTGCAGAAGATGGTAATCAAATGATAAAGAGTACAAGGCATCATGAAAGATTGATTCATAAGGCTTACTGATCATGTCTGATGCTCAAGGGCACGGGATTGTAACTTGTAAGTAGCCTTATATCTTTCTCACTAGATCAATTTTGTTATTTTTGGGCTACTTCCTTTTGCTGCTAGTAATTACTGTGGCATTCTAGATGGATAAAGCGATATGATGTATATAACTTTTTCACGTAGCATTACATTATTGATCCAGAATACCGTTGTGACGTAGGAGATTTAGCCAACTTACCACACCATCAAGCCTCAAGTTTTTCTTGGAACTCACAAACAGACCAGCTAAAGCTTTTTATTTTGACATCACATGCAATATGCATTACTTTACTGAATAATCTGCACAGTAAATCGTTTTAATTATATAATTAGGAACATAACCATGTAAAGGATTCCGTTGGATTTGGCTTGGTTTACACCTCACACTAAGTACATAACCAAATCAAATCAATCTGTTCAGGCCTTGTTTGTTTGTTTGTTGTCTACTCTCGAGATTCAATAAAGTTTGCTTCATAGCTTCTCCGTCTTCTACCTTCACTTGGACAAACCTTGCAAGTTGGCATTTATATTTTTCTTCAACATCTAGTGGGGTTGTCTAAGCCAAGTCAATAAGTCAATACTAAACAGCAAACGTGCTCAGTGATTGATTGTGTTCGGCTAATTTCCTTCTTGAGAAATTAAGAAAATACTGTATTTATCTACATACTATATGGAAAAGGAACTTCGCACAACGAATTGAAGATAACATCTTATCATTGAAAATGGAGAGATTTTGTGAATAAAGCTTTTATTCTTCCGTAAAACTAGTTAGCGATATGATGAGGAGCTCAACTCCTTGTAAGCTCATGCAAAGTTCCTTCTTCCAACAATGTGGATTTTATTCTCAGCACCCCATTATGTGACAAATTTTTAAGCCAAACATGTATACAACATCAAATAGAGTGATGTGGAGCACGTATAGTTGTTGAACTTCACGCGCTGCTCTAGAAATCAATAGGGGTCATCGTCATCATCATTGTGGCATCCTCGTTCGACGCCAGCACCACCACGTGCTCCACCTCCGTCACCATGCCTAGGCCCCACCGCAAGCACCGCCAGAGCCAAATCAAGAGAAGATTCAAGATTCAGATCCGAAACCAAATCCCAAAAGGCCGCAACAAATAGATAAGGATCCACTAACGGTTCATAATCCGGTTCAGAAGCCAGAATCTCTCTCTCCGTCCTTCCTTTCTCCACCATGGCCAACCAAAAACCAAGAGTTGGGCTCTCAAACTTTTCGAGGCCGCGACTATTCTGGATGCTACATCTAAAAGGGCTACCATGGGCTATAGCCTTGGTAGTTTTCAGTGAAAAAATAAAATTTTACACATAATTTTCATTGATTTCCGGTAGTTTACCATATATTTAGTCATTAATTCTACTTCTTTCAGTTTAATTATAAAAATATATAATACAGTTACAAACCATCTCTATTTCTTACCTCCTTTCTCATCGCTTCTTGTACATATATGTTTCAAGTTTGAATTTGTTTGAATTTTAACACATATTTATTTAATAACGAAAAATTTTTGGCTCATCTTATACAAAGTGTGAAAAATACAATACCGGTTTTTTTTGTTTACAAGATTTAAATCTTTAAGTTAGCCCATCCCGTGGAAAATCGCCATTAGCAGCTGGTAGAGCAAGAAGCGAATGAAGTTAACAACGACATGAACCCTGTGGCTGCAAAAGACGCAGCTCTGGCAGTGCTTGCGGCGAACCCTGTGGCTCCTGAACCGGATCAGGAATCGTTAGTGGATCCTGATCCGTTTGCTGTGAATTTTCGGGATTTGGATTCGGCTCCTGAAGTGACTTATGAAGCAGCTCTTGGCGTGATGACGAAGGTAGAGTACGTGGAGGTGTTAGCGGCGAACGTGGATGTCGATGCCGATGCAAAAAGCCAGTGGTGAACCACGTCTGCGAGTCAATTCAGGATTCAGATCCGGATCCAAGTTTCGAAAAACCGCAACAAATGGATCAGGATCCTTATAAACGGTTTTGGAACTGATCCAGGAGCCACAAGTGCTGGCGTGCCGCCGCAAGCACCGCCAGTGCCACATCTTTCGCAGCAAGTGTTCCATTCATGGCATTGTTAGCTTTATTCGTTGCTTGCTCTGTCGACCATGCAACCTTTATTGACGCAACAGCCACAACAACTGCGACCTCGAGAAGTTTGCAAGCCTACTCTGGTTTCCCGTTTCCCGTTGGCCATGGTGGAGAAAGGAAGGACGACAAGAGAGGGAGGACATGGCTCCTGAACCGAATGCTGAATTGTATGTGCATCCTTATCTATTTGTTGAGGCTTTCGGGATTTGGATCCGGATCTAGATCCTAAATCGGCTCCTAATCCGGCTCCGGCAGTGCTTGCTGTTGGGCTGGGCGTGGTGACGGAGGTGGAGCACATGATGGTGCTGGCGGCAGACTCGGACGCCACAGCGGTGATGACGATGACCCCATGCGGATTCCTAGAGGGGCACGCAAAGATCAAGACATTAATATGTTTAAAAGCTCATGCAATATATTTGTTCTCTCAACTTCTTAATTATAAGCTTATGCAATATTTGTTTTCTCGTCAATATGATATTCATTCTTAACATTTTTAGAAGAACAGTGATGATGTCGAAGTCGAATGATTCATGATTTTAATTTAAGGTTTAAGCAGTTCAAATAGGTCAAACTAAATCAAACCAAACTAATTGCGGGCTATTTCAAATCAGTCCAGTACTGCATGTTTTTTCTAATGTCAAAACGAGATCAAATTGGTTCGAATATTTTTGTTGTTGATATAATGATATTTTGACACTAAAGAGTGGAGAAATAAATTGATTGCGAACTTACTATTAACGAGATTGGAGCTTAGAGTCTCTTACTTACAAGTAAAAAATAATACTACTAAATTAAATGGGTTTTCAAATTGGTTTTATGTGGTTGATTTGAACAATTTCGTTGTTTTTCACCTACACCACTAACCCAACCTTCCAATTGCATCATACTGCATATCAACAAAGTGGACATCTCCTATCACAAAGCAAAGCTTTATTTATTTATTTATTTATTTGGCTCGAAACAAAGCATGTTTTAAAAGTTAAAAGTATATTATTTTTCAGTAGCAGTGGCCCAGTGAGACTGGCTTTAGTAGGGGTGGTTCGGTATGGGATACCGAACCGAAAACTATATACCAATTACCGAACTGAAAAAGTTCGGGATGAGATTTTAGCAACCGAAACCGATCCGAAATTTTGCCTTTCCCGAATTTCGGTATTCCCGAATGTTTTTCGGTTTTTCGGTACGGTTCGGGACGCAACCAACACCAGCAATCTCCAGTGGCTTCTTCACAAGCCTCCTCCTGAGATATCTTAATACCATTCTCCTCCGCCACCTCCACCATTCTCAGAAAGCAACGACCACGGCGACGACTCCGAATCCACCTAGCTCCCAACCCCACACCCACTCCTCTCCACAATCACATCTTCTCATGCCATTTCTGCACAAATCCTTTAGAACCCACATGCAAAAATCCAATCTTTTTCTTCGAGCACGGCGGCGACTCTGAGTCCACCTCGCTCCTAACCCCACACGGCCACACCCACTCCTCTTCACAATCACATGTTCTTATGCCATTTCTGCACAAATCCTTCAGAACCCACATGCAAAAATCCAATCTTTTTCTCTCGAGCTTCAGTGATCATCAAATGGAATTATTTGTTGTGGGTTATGAATCGTGCATGCGCAGCGCTGAGGATTCATAACCCAGAGACGAGAGAGCTTCAGAGAGGATAGAGAGAGAAATGGGTCGAGGCTAGAGACGAGAGAGCTTCTTCCTATCTCTGCTTCCCAACACGAAGACTGCTTCTCTCTCTCTGCCTCAAGAATCAAGATTCAAAACCAAAACAAAAGCTTTGTGCTTTTAGTTTCCAAAAAAGCTTTGTGCTTTTATCCCAAATCGACAAGGCATCACCATCACATGCCTTTTCCATATTATTTTATTTTTGTTCCTTTGCTAGTGGAACCGAAAGGCTCTGCTTTTTATTTTATTTTTTCATTGTTCTTTGCAGATGTAGCGCTGGAAAGTAGGAACCAAAAACAAAAGAAGATTTCGGGACTTCGGGAATACCGAAGAAAAGAAATCTGGAAACCAATTACATACCGAATATTTCGGTATTTTTCGGTATGGGATTATCAAAGTTTGGGATAGTTTCGGTTTGGGTTTGGGATTTTTTCGGTTTGGTTTGGGATTTTCGGGAATTTTTTCCAGCCAGCCCTAGGCTTTAGTGACGTTGTGAAGCTGCTGCTGCGGCCGCGCGGCTTTCACATCCACCTAATTCACATGTTGCGTTTGCATTGGAATGACTTGTATGAAATTGATTTATACTGTTACGCGAAATGTTACAGTATCCCTAATGAGAATTTCTATAGGAGGTTTTATCTTTTATGAGGCTATTAATTTTTAAGTACTAGTGAGAAATTTTATCATAAATGAGTTGAAAATTTGGGCTAGATTCACCACTTGGGCTAGCAACTTACTTTCTTGAGCAACATAAAATTGGGCTACATCTAGCCTAAAAAAAAATAGTGGGTCCCACAAAAAATAGCAACTCATGTGAGCAAAATTCTATCACTCTCCATCAACTTACGAATACACTTGTACTCTCCTTTTATTATTTTTTTAATTTTCTTTTCTTGCATATTTTTCTTGCAGTTTGGCAAATTAGTGATTGTTTTAAATTCCATAAGAATTAAAATTCCAAATTGATTTAACGTTCATGGGCATTGGTGGGTGAAATTTTCAAATAATTTTTTTTTCAAAATTGTATAATTCTAATTTACCAATTGGTGCTAGGTAAATTGTTGTGTTGGACACAAAAATCAAACTATTTCAAATGGCGAAGTGAGGGTTTATTTCTCTTAACATATGAGATTGAGATAAAAAAATTTAATCCAACGAACAGTTCATAAGTGATGAAATCTAACTTTGTCAGAATTTGAACCATTTTAGATTGAAAAGTTCATAAAAAAATTTAAGATAACGCATCCAAAAATCAACTTAAGAAAAGTTAGCATAAAAAAAATATTATCGCATAATAAAATTGTATAAATAAATATATATAGTGTAACATCCCACATTGACCAAAGGAGAGGGGGTGATGTGCCTTATATGCACATGCCCACCTCCAATAGCATGAGGCTTTTGAAAACTCACTGGCTTCGGATTCCATCGGAACTCCAAAGTTAAGCAAGTTCGAGCGAGAGCAATCTTAGGATGGGTGACCTCTCGCATGAGTTCCCAGAAACAAAACCGTAAGGACGTGGCCCAAAACGAACAATATTCTGTTACAGCGGAGCCGGTCTAGGATGTGACATATAGCCCATATATAGCCTGAAATCAATAGCCCCTCATTGGAAAAGATTCTTTTATAATGCTCTATAGATTCCTCAGAGCTCTAAAATTGGCTATATCCACCACTTTTCCAGCCTCATATAGAGCCCCTCACTGGGGATGCTCTAATGAGGGGTCTTATATAAGGCTGGAAAAGTGGTGGATATACTCCAATTTAGAGCTCCTAGGAACCTTCAGGGCTCTAAAAAAATCTATCCCAGAGGGGTTATATATTTTTTGAGCTGCATATGGAGCTATATATTTATATTATGTAGTAATTTGATTATGCAGTAAATTTTATTTTTTCCTTAACTTGTCTTAAGTTGATTTTTAGACATGTTATCTTAAATGTTTTCATGAACATTTCAACCTAAAAAAAGTTCAAATTTTGATAAAGTTAGATTTAATCACTTATGTGCGTGGTATCTTAAAATTCATCACTTTTTTTTTTATGAATTTTTAACCTAGGCATGCAATTAAACTCAAAGCACAACACTTTCTTTATCAATAACACAAAGTACAATATTTTTGGATAAGTATAAACACAAACACAAACTACAACATTAACAAACTATATTAGAACAAGTACATAATAATCAAATCTCTCCATGATACTCTTCCGATGCAAATGGGAGTTGAAAGGCGTGCAGTTCTTCTTCTTTTTTTTTTTTTTTTTTTTTTCTTTTGAGAACTGAGTTTTGTTCCTCTTATCCACTCCTAGCCGGAGTGTCAATCTTTGATGTTTCCGTCATCATAAGCTTAAGCTCTTGTTTGTTGTCAAAACTCTCTTTGCAAGCCATAAACGAGCTAGCTAAAAGTTTTGCTTCTTCGCCAATATCATGCGCAATACCGTTTTCTTTTTGTGCTTTAGCTTTTTTGTTTCCAATAGGCCTTTGATGTTGGGTTGAAGTTTGTGCACTATTTTGAGTTTTCAGAACCGACTCTATAAGATCCTCATTGTTGACAGAAAAACTATTTGCTATTGGAGATAACTCATTAATGAAGAGTGTTTCATTCCACTTCGGGGAAGGTCGTAAAATCTCCCAACATTTCATGAACCGGAATGATTTTTCCCTCTTTCTTATAATATGAGGACTCTACATCTTCTATCTATGAATGTGTGGATTAAAGTTTAAAATTAATAAATAAAATAATATACTAAAATGCAAATAAATTACCTAAACAAGTAAAATCAATAAAAACTCACATGGTTTTTTTTCTCAACTACCACTCTTGGGCCTCCGTTTAATGTATAAAAGTTTGAAAACCAAGATACTTCAAGGTAGTAACTGAGAATTACCCTTCATTTATTTTGTCAAAATAGGAAGAAAAAAAAAAAGAAAAAAAAAAAAAAGAAGATGTACATATGTTTATCCTTTGGGGAATTTACTTGTCCACTCATTTATGACCAATGTATTTTTATCAGACAAACATCATAATCAGAACTATTCATTCTCTTTACTATTATTTAAAGATCATCTTTACCAAATATCATTCAATTTGAAAATGTTTAGTCATCTATGCGTGTCAAAGAAATTAACAATTTTGATAATAAGTAGCATTCCCAAGATGACCTGTCTATTGTTTAATGCATATTATGGCTAACAAGTAGCATTTCGAGTATAGATTGTCTTGCATCTCCAATTTGAAGTCGAAATATAAATTTGGAATCGATATGAGATTTGAGTTGAAGGTGGATCCCATGCCAAATAGGAAAAATATTATTCAACAAAGAAAAATGAGATTTGAGTTTTGAGTCAAATTATCTCCTATGCACATAACCAAATTCTTAAACTCAAATATGAGTTGAGTCCAATGTTGTCTTCTCTAATTTAAAGACTCAAATCTTAAAACTCAAAATTATGTTTGATTTTTAGGATTTGAGTCCTTGCATTGGAGAAGAAAACCAAAATGCATGAATCTCTTACGTTTTTTGGACCCAAATATAAAATAGAATAACGCTAAGGAGAATATTTATATGTGGGAACATGAATTTTTAGGCCAAAATAAGGAGGATCAAAATACAAGCACCTCATAAATTTGGGCATGGACTAACCGGCTCCAATTATGTTGGACTGTGTAAATGGACCGATTGTGGCAACACACCTATTAGGCTCCGAAATAGTAGGTAAGGCTTGCAGATCTTATCGAGAATGATCATGCTTACTCTGCAAAGTACAGAGGTTTGTTCCGACGAACTCGTTTCCTATAATATTGCAGATTCCTACAATTT